TTTGAGAGGAAAAATATTAGTTCTGTTTTAGATTTTATGTAATTTTTTGCCTGAACCATCTCAGATGATAGGTCGCTTGCTGTAGGGATGTTCAGTGATGGTATCAGTAGTAATTGGAGTTGTTTGTAGAAGATTACATGGAGAGATTAAAACGAGTATCCCTTTGATCAGTGGAGTAAGGTGTTCAAAAGAGAGGTGAAAATAGTGACTGCTACTTCTCCTGACATATGCTTTCAGCCAGAGGCCTTCTGCTCTCTTGCTTTTAGTGATGATATGGTATTCCATCATGTATTAAAAGCAACTCTCATCATTGACAATGAGGTTTTTCCAGGCTTTTGGGGTGCACAGCACGGTGATCATTATCTTTGTAGATATATCTTGTATATATTTTTAATTTTATGAGATAATAGAACCTGTGCGTTAAAGTTTAATTGCATTACCAAAAAAAAAAAAAAAAAAAAAAGGCTTTCGATGCATCTTCACAAATTAGTCTCCAAAAAGTTGTTCACATTCTTACCAGCAATAAGAGTCCCTGGTTATCCGAGACTGTTGGCCATGCCAAATGTTAAGAATTATTTTTTCAGTTGTTTTAACTTGCCTGTTTAAACGTCCTTTTTGAAAACAAAAATTGTTCCCAGGCTTAAAGCCTTCCACTGCCTTCCCCTCCTTCCACTTTGAATTCGTGTGACACTCTTCCTTTTGGCCTTCCAGTCTGTGGGGCTTGCCCCGGCTGCGTCTGCAGCTGCATTTGCCGCAGCTCCGCCCGGCTCGCTCCCTCCAGCCACGCTGGCTGTCTCCCCTCCTGCAGCCCTCCAGGCCCTGCAGCCCCTTCTAGGTCTTCCTAGACCTTGGTGTGCTTGGCTGCTTTTCATCCAGTGTCGCTTCTTGAGACTCAGGCTCCTGGACGATCTGAGGAAGACCCCTCCTGTCACTTCTGATCTCATCATCCCCTTTATTGTCTTCCTAGCACTTTACCCTTTGAAAATAGTTTACGTCTTGTTTTTGTCCTGTTAGTACCTAAGCTGTGTATGAGCAGGGGCTTCGTGTGCCTCTTTGCTTCTGTACCCGCAGGGACAGCGCTAGCACGTAGTAGACGCTCAAGTGTTTGTCGAAAGCTCCTAATGTGGTGGAGTGTAATTTTCTAAGTATAGCTGTATTTCTTCCTTTGTGAATTGTCTTTGTTCATTTGTCATTCATAGTGTTTGCTTTTTTATTGATTTTTATTGATTTGTGAGAACTGCTTATAAAGAATCATTTTTTCTGTCACGTGCTGCATATTTTCCCCCATTTTCTCATTTGCTTTAAAGTTTTCTTCTTTGATGATGCAGAATACAGACCTCCAGAGTGCCTGGCCATAGTTAAGGACTCAGTAAACTTTAGCCATCCATTTTCCCGGGCTCCTTCGTCTAAGACGCCTGCAGGAGTACTTTTTCATTCTGGTTTATTGTCTGATTGACAAGCCTGTTCCCCAAATGATGGATCTCTTGAGTAAACTTGCCCCGTGCGTAAGGGTGCAGCACACTGACTGTGGCAGCCAGCAGGAGCACGAGGAGAAAGGGCCCCGTGCTAAGTGCAGGGAAAGCCGTGTTGCAGGAATTAGCTCGGCGCGCTGAGGGTGTGGGTAGTGATGAGGGGATATCCGTCTTCCAGTGGTTACTTGGCTGCGGGGGAGCAGGGTATCATCAACAATAATTACAGAAATCTGTTCTTTTTTAAAGAATTGTGGTAAAGTATGCGTAACATAAGAAATACCATCTTAACCGTTTTTAAGTGCACAGTAAATGGCGTTAAGTACGTTACCGTTGTTGTGTAACCGCCACCGCCATCTACCCACAGAACTTCCATCTTCCCAAACTGAAACTCTGTGCCCCTTAGACACTGACTTCCACCCTCCCCCACTGCCCGCTCACCTCTGTCTTCCTCCTGTCTCTGGAGTTGACTGCTCTTGGGACCTCATGTAAGTGGAGTCATTCAGTGTTTGTCTTCTCGTGTCCGGCTTATTTCACTGAGCATGATGTCCTAAAGGTTCTCGTTGTAGCTTGTATCAATTTTCTTCCTTTTCGTGGCTGAATGATAGATATCCCATTGTATGTATGGTTCGCGTTTGTCTATGGACATTTGAGTTTTTGTTCTTTCTTATAGTATGGTTTTCTGTGTTAATTGTCTAAACCTGGGAATTAAATGAATATACGTGACGTGCCTAGATTACTGCCTGAGAGTCTGGTTGCCTAGTTGGGTGGGAGGGGGGCTGCAGTGTAAGGATCCAGATGTTTCTTTCAGAGCTTTCAGTCGGTTCTTATTTCAGCGTCCCTTCAAAGCGCTCCCAGAGGCACCCAGCGCTGCCGGTCTTCAGCCCTGCTAGGGTCCTGAGGTTCCAATCCCTTGGTTCTCTGGTTTCTTCACTGCTGGCTTCAGACTCCATTTTCATGGTTCTGCTTAGTTGTTTACCATCCATACATCTGCTTTCCCCAGCTTCTTACATTTTGTTATCTCCTCTTTTGTTTTCTGTTCTTGTAGATTTACGCTTTTAAAAAAAAGCAATATTTTGCATATTGAAAGTAGATTGTGTATTTAATCTTCCATGAAGATTAAACATGAAACATTTTAATCTTGAAACATGAAACCTTTTTTCATTTTACACGTATCTGTCTGATTCATTCTTCTCTTTCAGAAGACTGGTTTTCTGGGTTTCTTACTCTACGTACTGGCGTAGACCTCCAACAGCTCTTATCACAGGAGATAGTAGCTTTAGTTATCGAGGGAGACTGCCGCCTTTTTCTCAGCTCCAGTCGCAGAATTTTCCTGGACAGCTGTGGCTTAGCTTGGTTGGCTGCCTGTCCCCGACCAACCACAGGAGGGTTTGAGGTCCCAGGCAGCTACACAGCAGTCCTTCCTGGGTGGTGGGCGGAGTGGGCCAGGTTCCTAAGGAAAGAGGAGCTGGTGAGGCCAAAGAATAAATTCCCTTCCACTGCTGACCTCCCAGCTCCTGCCTGCCTTTGGCAGGCCAGCTCCATTTATAGCAGCTGCCTGCGTCATATTTCAGAGACCTCAGACTGAAAATGAATAAAAGCAGACTCAAGATTCTCCCTCTGCTGCCAGAAGCCTGCTTCTGCTAGTGTTTTCTGTCCTACTGAGCGGCACTGCTGTCCTTCTTCCCGTACAGGCCGGTCATCCTTAGGCCCTTGTGCCCCCTGAGTTCATAGGCAAACATCACCTGTCTGTGTGCTCTAGCTCTTAAATGCCCCGAATCTACCCACTTCTCTCCTTTTTCCTCCAGCTCCTTTGTTCAAGCACTGTCTGTCTCTGTCCTGGACTCTTGCAGTGGCCTCCTAATTGGCTCCAGCTCTGGCTCGACCAGTTCTCCAGGGCAGCCAGAGTGCAGAGCGAATCTCATGTTTGCCTCTCACCTGAAATGGTTGTCTTTCCTGTGATTTGCAAGGGCCTCCACTGCCAAGTTCCTTCTGCCTTTCTGGGCTCGCAAGAGGCCCTGATCTTATGTCTGCACGGGCCACCCCTGCTGCCCCTCTTATCTTCCGAACTGCGTCCAGCTAAATTGAATTTTCCGTACGAGAGGGGAGCAGCCTCGGCCATAGCTCATTGGTGGTGTAAGGGCCCGTGTGACACCAAGGTGCTCTCCTTCCCTTACATGAGTAAATGTTCCAGCCCCAGTCTGATAAGGCTGAGGTAAACTGCTTCTCGTGTTTTTGGTATCTGTCATAGCTCTCATATTGGTGGGAGTTTAAATTTGCAGTTTGGCAATATGTATCGAGTATTTTACAGCTTATGACTTTACATAACAATTCTAGTCCTGGGAATCTCTGAAAGAATTCATCTAAAATATGGGAGAAGTGTTATGCACAGATATATTCACTGAAATATTTTTTAATGGGGAGTTATAAATGTCTTCCCTGTAGGGGATAACTGAGTAACCTGGTAAATCCTCTCGCTGGACTATTTTTTAGTTACCAAATGTTGAGAAGACGGTAGAGAAACTTAAGTGGGAGGTTGACATTGGCCTTCACGTCCAAGGACTTTTTTCCATCATTGAATTCCATTTGGGCTTGGATTCTTGACAGCTAGGCCCTTATTTTAAGAATAAAGTCTCATGAAGACAGGCTTTGGGAATCTTGCTTGCTGACCTTTTCACAGAATCCTAGTAGGCAGAGTGGTACATGGCACCGTTGCCACACACTCACATGTGCACTGGCACACCCAGGCACCCACCCACCCATGCACAGGCCACACACACTTGCACACACACACTTCCCTGAAGGATTCTAAAAAGATAGCTAACTGCAGATACAAAGCTTGTTATAAACTGTAGGAGAGGCATTTTACTAAAGTTCAGAGCAGAATGGAAGTTCTGCTAGTGCTGTTGGATATTCTCGATTATCTGGAGTAGCACCCATCATCATCCGTCCTTCCGTAGGCCTTCATCTCCAAAGCGTTGGCTCTCGAGAGTGACAGGAGATCTAGGGAAAGAAGATAGTAATGATGGAGAAAACGACAAGTGTCCAGGTGACCACAGGTCTCAGAGGCAGTGGCAGGAGAAAAGATGGAGAAGCTGTAGATAGAAGAAGTAATGGAGAGTGGACATCTATTCTAGTCTTAAATTTTTTTCCCTTGAGTATAATCTCCCCAGTTGTTCATTATAAGTTATTTCAAGCATACAGAAACATCAAAAGAATGGTCTTTTATGTAGATACAACAACGACACATGGAAGGCTGCTTGGAGGGTTCCGCTCACGGCATGGTAACGGCAGCTTCCTTGGACAGCCTTTCCTTTCCTGCTTACCTTGGTTAAGTTTTTTGCAAAGGAAAGTAGCATTACTGTGCAGTGTTATTTGTAATGCTTTGCTTCCCCTGAAGACAGCTTAGTACGAGGGAAAAAGAAACGTGTGATTAGTAGAATCGGGCCAGCTCTTGCCCTAAGCCAGACCCGTATCATATACAGAAGACTGCTTGGCCTGCCTCAGTGCTCTGTTCTTTCCTTTATCCAGGTACCAGCTGGAAGATGAGTCTGCCCATTTGGATGAAATGCCATTAATGATGTCTGAAGAAGGCTTTGAGAATGATGAAAGTGATTACCACAAATTACCACGAGCTAGGATCGTGCGAAGAAAGAGAGGCCTAGAGTGGTTTGTCTGTGGAGGATGGAAGTTCCTCTGTACCAGGTTTGTTATCCATTGCTGCCTAACCTACACACCAGGGTTACACAGTTATGTATAAGCTTAGCTTCTAAACACATTTGTTTCTATATCAAACTAAAGAAGCCACTCTCTAAATGACATCATGGAGAGTATTAATAACCTTAGTCAAAACCAAACAGTGCTAATCCAAAAGGGACAGAAAGCCAAATTCACTTTTTTGTGAGATGTTTTAATGTTTAAAAGGTGGAGAAAATTAGTGATTTTGTAATTACTGCATGGTAGAATTAATTCTGGTCACTGTACTGACATTTATAAACTGTGTACCTTTCTTTTCCGTCTGTGGTTATAGAGGCGTCCCTTGGTATCTGTGGAGGATTGGTTCTGAGACCCAAATCAGTGGATGCTCAAGTCCCTTTATTTTTTCAGTTATACGTATATATATATTTTTTCAGATTCTTTTCTATTGTACGTTATTACAAGATATTGAATATAGTTCCCTGTGCTATACAGTTGGTCCTTGTTGTTTATCTGTTTTGTATATAGTAGTGTGTATACGTTAATCCCAGACTCCTAATCTACCCCCCCCACCCTGCCCTCCCTGCTATCCCCATTGGTAACCGTAAGTTTTTTTTCTATGTCTGTTTCTGTTTTGTAAATAAGTTCATTTGTATCATTTTTTACTTTCCACATATAAGCAATATCACATGATATTTATCTTTTCTCTGACTGACTCGCTTCACTTAATATGATAATCTCTAGGTACATCCATGTTGCTGCAAATGGCACTATTTCGTTTCTTTTTTATGGCTGAGTAATATTCCATTGTATATCTGTACCACATGTTCTTTATCCATTCCTCTGTCGATGGGCATTTAGGTTGCTTCCAGGTCTGGGTTATTGTAAATAATGCTGCAGTGAACATTGGGGTGCATGTACCTTTTTGATTTATGGTTTTCTCCAGATATATGCCCAGGAGTGGGATTGCTGGATCACATGGTAACTCTACTTTTAGTTTTTTCAGGAACCTCCATACCATTCTCCATAGTTGGAGTTGTAAATTGGTAGTCCCAATTTACATTCTCACCAACAGTGTAGGAGGGTTCCTTTTTCTCCACACCCACTCCAACATTTATCATTTGTAGACTTTTTGGTGGTGGCCGTTCTGACTGTTGTGAGGTGATACCTTATGTAAATCTGTCATGTACTGGATTGGTCTAAGACAGATAGTTCTGTCAGACCCAGAAGCAGGATCTGGAGACGTAGGTTTGAGAGTTGTTGTTACCGTAGTGATAGTGGAGGCCACCCGGAAGGATGACATTCCTAAAACGGCAGCAGTGTGGTAGAGGTCTGTGAAGGAAGAAGGAAAGGGACCCTTTGGGGAAAAGGACAGTGTTGGAAAGGAAGGCTAATAATCCTCTTCTTAGGCAGCAGAAAAAATAGGGGAGCAAGTGTGAAATAGTGTTGGAGAGGATGACTTTTATCTTAACCTCAGTTGGGAACATTAGTTCATTTAAGTGAGGAGGTGTCTGGGATACACATGAGGACTAAAAAAATGACAAAATTGGTCCTGCCTTGGTAGAGATCATCAGTAATCACGCATCTGTATTGAACCCAGCATAATTTTATTACTGTTTGTCCATCAAGGAGAAACGTGAGCCATTACAGAGCCAGCTGTGGAAGCGAGGGTGTGGGCAGTTACGGTGGGAATGGTGGCCAGTGTTGTGAGTTGAAGAGACGGCTGCGGCAGAGGAGCTTTGGGCGGTGCCACAATTGCAGTTTGATGGATGTGTGGTGTGTGTTTTCCATTAGTGTGGGGTGGAAGAAAGAGTGGGATCAGACCCAGTGGTGCTGTTTGAGATGAGCATTCTCACTGCTGTTTACAGCCGAGAACTAGAAGAGGCCCTCTCCTGATAGCTAAGGGCCAAGCCCGAAGTTGAGCCAGAGTCTGACTTGACTCGCCAAAGCCTTTCCTTGCTCTTTGCTCCGCGGACTGGGAAAAGTGCTAGGACGAGGAGGTGTGCTCCAAATGCGATAGGTCCTGCTTTGCACTCTTCAAGCAGATAAGTGCCTGGTCTCACCTTCCTAAAGGGAACCTGACGTGAAGATCAGTGGGACTGAGAAGGCTGAGAATCTTACCTACTGTGCACAGAGGATCCCTGCATGACAGAGTTGCTAGAAACTGGGGACGTGGGAGTGGGTACTGATGGACCTGAAACTTTAAGGTCATAGTCTCGTGCGCATGGTGTGGACTTCAAGAGGGCAGGCCATGTGTTGGAAGTGATACTTATCCATACCAGTGAAACGGTTGCCAAGAATTGTGGACATTGTTGAAGGCCGAGTGCATTGTTGAATTAATTATTTTTGGTCTTTTACAGGATTTTGTTTTTACCAAATGGAACATAGCCAAGTTTTGGATTTCATTTGTAATATTCCTTTTCTTAAGGAAGATATTAAGAATATATTTGAAAATCTAGGTGTTAGTGGCAAAAACTAACATGTTTTGGGGATATTAAAACAGCTCAGTAATATATACTCGACATGTATATAAAGTCTTTATCTTAGTAAATGGTGATCATGTGGGCAGAGCTGACCGAACCGTCGTGGTGGCTTCACTCACGAGTGTCTCTTTCCATGTGGACGAGAGTGACCTGAGACATGGCCACATTTCGTGTTCAGTGTGCATCCACTACACCAGGAAATTGTTATGGAAATTAAAACTGCACCTTACAGAACAAACTGTACAGTTAGCAACTTAGATGGGTCTTATTTTCTTTATTATAAATTTCCAGTTTTGAATATTTGCTAACCTTTTTATTTTCTAAATACCAGGCATTATAAAAGTCAGTGTTATTAAGGTTATTAGGCGAAGGATCAAAGAGTAGAAGATATATAAAATTACTTAGTTTAATTGCAGAAGAAAACACCAGTGAATATTGTGGTGAAGACAGATAGCAGGTGGTATTAAGGAGTTGCAGATATTTCATTGTATTTTTATTTGTAGATTCTGTGAGTAGTAAGGTTTATTTTTAAATTCTTCTTCTTCTGGGATTGAGTAGGCTTTAATTTCTTCATGGCTTAAGACCTGCCTTCTCATTTTTATTATTTGGCAAAAATTCCAACTCTGAAAAATTTGACTCTGGAAAACCTTTTTCTGTAATCTGTCTTCTAAACCTTTGGGTGTCCTCCACGTGGGTTACTGTGATGCACACCGGTATGTAGTTCTGGGGGACAGTAATGCCTTTCTCACGAGGTTTACATTTCACTTGCTATCAAAAATCACTTTGTCCCCATGAAAGTGGAACCCCTGAATGGCACTTCCATATGAAGGGGGGGTATCAAATGCTAGGATTGTTCCCGGTCCTAAATGGCCTCTACACTTTCAGTTAATCGGCAACACTTTTGGAGTGCAGAAACATGGGAAAGTGCTGATCTCTTAAGAGGACATGAGTGCTGTGTTGCTTTTGGCTTGGTAACCAAAGGTACCTGTTGGATATAATTATTTATTTATTTATTTGGGAAGGAGGCTTTCTAAATTTTGGAAGTTATTTAATTATGGCCCCTTAAAATTGTACAAGACAGTACCTTGGTATATAAAGATGTGCTTTATTGAGTATTGGAGTACTACTTTGATTGTAGAGGCATTTGCAAAAACTTACTAATCCTAAAATGTTTTAAGAAAAAAGTATAGTTTGTACACTATTGGATTTAGTTTCAATTTGCCTTGACAGTGTGAGGCGATTTACATATAAATGGGAAAGTGTCTTCTGAATACTGAGTAACTGAGGAAACGTGCAGTGCGCATAGAAATGTTGCTGGGTAAAGCTTCTGGTTTCTTTCTTCCAGGGACTCCTCTGCATCTCCTTCTCACTTACCGGTGTTTACCAGTATGTTTCACTCTTATTACTTTGCCTTCAAAAATTGCCCATAGTTTTACTTTCTCCCTTAGCTCTACAGCTCTATAAGGCTTACTTACACGTATTTTTTTGGTTACAAGTATTTTCTTTATGTGGGGGGTTTGTCTTCTCTTTCTGGTCATATTTTCTGTCTGCATAATCCAGTGGCAATGCTGGCGGAGCCCCAGGCTTTTAAAACTTCGAGACTGTGTATTCATTTAATATTGTGGAATAGCGGGTGGTTTAATAGTGGCTCCCTAACCACTGCTTGATTCTGTCTTCGCATGAAGAAATAATAATAAGATTTTAATTTGGTAATCGTAGTAGCAAAGTGTTATGAATAATTTAATTACATTTTGGAAGTCTGGGAACGTTAGTTTTTTCTCTACACCGTTATAGAGAAGGACTGGACTGTTGGATATGTGTTCTTAGCCCCTCGTATTTATTTGGTTTCTAGAGTGTGGGGCTTTGAAAGTTAATGGGATGCTAGTTTCACGTGCTGTTGATAGTGGTGTAGACGCTGAGGTTTCTATTCTAGCGAATGTTTAAGTGTCATGTGAGGAAGACAGTGGTTTTGCATTTATAGAGCTTTTTGCCTGTAGAATATGTCGATACCAGCCTAAACTCTGGAAAAGCCACATTTCCTAAGTTTTATTTATATTTTTTCAAACACTGAGCTTTGGCTACCCTCCGTTTCATCTTAAGACTTGTCTGACTTTTGCACATTAAACCATTAGATTAGATAATTATGTGTTTCAGGAGAAAAATTCATATCTGAATACATTCCTGGAGGATTTTTGCTGTATTTGAAATGCTGAAGAAAGTGTGCACACATGAGGACTGCTGTCCTAGCTGTCGTGCTTGCCTGAAGAGTGCTTTGTGTGTACCAGCCCTGCTCCAGAGCTTCCCTGGGATGCTGAGAATATTCTAGATCTGTGACGTCCAATATGGTAGCCACTGGACAAGGTGGCTGTTGAGTCCTTGAAAGGTGGATAGGGTGACTGAGGAACTGGACTTTTTATTTTACTTAACGTTAATTAATTCCCACTAAAATAGCCACATGTGGCCAATGGATGCTTTATTGGACAGTAACTTTTTGTGCCAATTAGTGTTATAAGTTTGGAAACATTCTGAATGTGACAGCGAGAGGCAGCATAGTGACAGCAGAGCTCTGAGTGCTTCCCCTCTGGCAGGCATTGTGCCAGGAGCTCAGAGCGTGTCACCTGTAACCTCATCAGCGCTTCTGCGGATGAGGAAACAAAGACTTAGGCCAGGGGACCACCCCAGGGCCACTTGCTGGGAGTTGTTTCCAAAAGCACGACCTTAAAGTCCACGTCTTTCCCATGGAGTCCTGTGGCCTGCTCATGCGTTTTTCATTTATTTCCATCATCTGTAGAATGGCTGCCGTACTGTGTGCTGTGCTAAGCACAGGCCGTCTGTGAAGATGAGCAGGCGCCGGCCTGCCTGTTGTCCTCGCGGCAGGAGGAACACGGGGTTGAGTGGGGACTGAGGTCCGGGCTGTGTGTCAGCCCTGCCCAGCTGTTGCGCGTACATTGCTCACTGACCTCTGTGGCCTCCGGTTTTCCCTTGTGTACCGTGTGGGGGTTTGGCGTCTGTGAGTGTGGTTGCGGGGGTCCGAGACGAGGAGTTGGTGTTGTAACTGGACAGAGGTGGGCAGTGTGCGCCCTCCCTCCCTCCCTCCCTCCCGGCTGTGGGGAGGTGCCCCAAGGAGAGGCGCGGGTCCGGCAATTTGGTTCCGTGTGGGTGTTGGTGAGGGAGCTTGGGCTGGAGGCAATCCAGGTCCTACTGTAAAAGCAACAGGAAGGTGAGAAATAGTAGTTTGAAGCTTGTTATATTTTATTTGAAGCCTTATTTAATTTTTGTCTCATACAAGCATAAACAAGATAAAATATTACCAATATTGACTGAGATCTACTTGACCAGTCCCCTTTCCCCCACCAACAAACAGTAAGGATGGGAATACTTATTTTGACAGTCTTAAATCGTTTAATAATACTGTGATTTATAACTGTTGGGGATTTAAAAGTATGCTTTATGCGTGGAGGCGCTCTCCGTTCTGATTTATTTTTTAAAACGTGATGGCAAGCAGCGATAAGAAATTTCTGCTCTTGGAGAGTTGGGTCTTCTTTGTCTGCTCCAGTTGAAGCAGAAGACGGGGTGCGGAGAATGTTTTAGAGCTGATCTGCTTGGTATGCATTTGGCGTTCCTGGACACCCCCATGGGGTAGCTCCTCAGGACGGCAGAGCCTGACACTCCTGCGGGCGATGAGCTGTGCCCACGCCAGGAGGACTCGGCAGCTTTCAAAGGGCAAAGCCCTGTCCTTCCAGGATGAAGGTTTTCTGAGCACAGCCAAGAACTAGGTGGATACTTAGTAGGGATATACTGATTTCAGTTTAACCACATAATGTATTCCCTCATACAGGGTGCTGCTGTGGGTGATTTATGAAGTAACACATCTGAGTGTGTTAAAGGGAAGAAAGACATGCAGTGAATTTGACACATAGTCCTGAGGGGTCAGCCTCATCTTATAGTCACACCTTCTAAGGCTGTCGTTATCCTGCAGGATTTCAGGTTAACTCTTGAGCTTGCTTTGTCACAAGTGAAGTTAGGAATTTCCGCCTTATCCTTCTGGCTTGCAGTTCTAGCCTTGGCTACGTTCAGAAGATGACGTTTAATAACTTCCCTTCCCTTAATAAACCTCTCGGAGTCTTTCTCTGCATTTTGGAAATTTTAATTAAACTGAATTGTTAATACTGAAGTTTAAATTCAGGATTATTTTATGCTTAATAGAGGTGAATTTGATACCTTTTCATCATTTTCTGAAGTATTTTAAGAAAAGTTATCCCACTAGAAACTCTATACTCTCTATTCAAATATGGTGGTTTGGATATCCAGGAAGGAGAAGTTTGTGCTCCTGGAACCCTGAGCAGGGTTGGAGCAGGGTAGATTTAGATTAAAATCTTCATTGCATAGTTGAAGGTAGCCACATGGAAATACAATCAAGCTTTTATTGCCATTAGAATAGTCCATTAAACATTGGTATCCTTTCTAAATACTGAATTGAGCCATACGTCTTAGTTTTATATTAACGCGATCACTTAAAGGAGGAAAAAAGTGACTACTTAAGACAAGGGGGTGGGCCACATCCTAGTTAATCGACGTCTGAGAGCCTTTATCACTGAATCACCAAGTAGTGTATTGAGAATTACCGATAACATATGGCGATTCTTTTCTCAGCATGGAAAGCATTGACTGCTTCAGAATGTTAATGGTTTTATTTTGCCAATAAGAGGGTCTAAACGGGGAGGATAATTTCCCTGCGGTTCTAGGAGTCATTGCACACTTACTCAAGCTCCTTCAGTATCTTCATATCAAATTTAAATTAGTATAGCTGACCTGTTTTAAGAAAACCCTTACAGATTAACAGTAGATATGCTATTGGTGTCTGGTAAATACAGAAACAATCAGTATTGGCTCTGGATATGTAGAGTTAATTCAAAAACTTTTGAAAAAGCATACGCAATATGTATCTTTTGTTTCATGCAGTTGCTGTGATTGGCTGATAAATATTTGTCAAAGAAAGAAAGAATTGAAAGCTCGTACAGTGTGGCTTGGATATCCGGAAAAGTGTGAAGAAAAACATCCCAGAAATTCTATAAAAAATCAGAAATACAATGTATTTACCTTTATACCTGGGGTAAGATTGTTAAATTCTTGAAAACGGGCTGCATATCAGAGATTGCTAACTTTGTTTTCATTTTTTTCCCTCATTAATTCTGTCGTATCCAAATCAGAGTCCTTTTGCTTTGGAACCATGGGTGTTTCAAATAATTGTTAAGTAATTCACATGCATTTGTAATAGCCACATGATAAGGGTTCAACTCAAGAAAGTTTATAGTTTGATTATTGCCTTCAATTCTAGATAAACATCACATTTATATTATTGTAGAAATAACCAAGTAAAGCTAAATAAAATTATCAGAAAATAAGTCATAAATTTCGTTTGGCTGGGAATTTGTTTGGTGGGAAAAGTGGAATGTATCTAATGTTTAAAGCCTGCCGAGGCTGTCACAATGAAAGTAAAATAACTTTTTACACAAACATGACTCCATAACAAAATATCTATAAGCATTTATAGATTTCTTTTCTACTTCACGTTGTAAATTTCAGGCCTTGTTGTATTGTTATGTCAGTAGTTACCTTTAATTAGGTATTATGCTAAATTTAAACTCTGAAGTTTAAATATTTACTACTTTTTTTGTTGCCAGTGATATTTGTGGCTTAAATTATAAAACTGCGATTATATGTATTTAGATTAGTGGAATTATTTTTGCCTTTTGCGCCATCATTCCCTATTTTAATAGACAGATTTATTTATCTTTCTAAAGGCAAAAGAAAGCTGGGACTGATTTATGTTTCCAGTATCAAAGTTTTTGATATGTTCTAGGTATTAGCTCTTAACGCTATTTTGCAAAAACCCCTCTTGATTATGTGAAATGAGGGCTGCTTTATCTTTCATGTTTTTATTTAAATAACCATGCTGACTTTATATTGGGCATTGATCAGCCCTCACCCCCCCATCCGTCCAGTAGTTGTCAGATGCTTGATGTCTAATATGCTCCTTTATTAAAACACACAAAACTAATGGCTTCATAATTAAAAGACTGATCTTTTGTTAGGACAATAAAGTGTAAACTCTCTTTCAGGCAGATAAATATTCTCATCTTTATTGAATGAAGCTACTGTTTTCTCCTTAGGTTTAAATTATTAAGTACTCCCAGATTGGCTAAGTATTGTACATTTTCCTAAAGCCCTCCAGGAGTTCACTCAGCAGACAATAAAGTCTTGACTGCAGTGGTTTAAGGTGGATCGTGCAGCTTAGTTTTGATCCGAGTGAGTTCACATGGCTACCAGGATGGCTGTCCGGAAGAGACCTGTTGATGTGTCTGTACAGCTGTTACCGTGGGAATGACTTTTTTCTTAGATTGTCTCTTAAATTAGTCTTTTCATCTAAAACGTAGTATTTTAGAAACATTTGGTAATTGCACAGTAGGAATTCTATGCCAGTTTTGGCACGAATGGCAGTTTCTGAATTGCTAGTAGATATAATCTATGCTAACTGAGATTTTAAAGAAATCACTGAGGAAAAAGAGTTTTCTCTCCTGCTAAGATTAATTTATGAAATGATTCAAAACATTTTTAGACAGCAGTTGAACATGATTATGAATATAAACGTGTCATTGATGTAACTGATGTTTTTAGCCATACACATAACTGTGTGATGATGTGTATAACTTCATTATATAAAAACTGTGGTTCCAGACTCTTTAAGTCAACAATAAGTACTTAACGCATTGCTCTGCCCTTGTTAAAATTTCTGTGCCTTCCAAGTTGTATTAAAAAATGGCATTCCAGGAGATTTTGATTTGCAGTTTGCAAGTCTGTAAGTTTCATTGTAATTGTAGTGTTGAAGGTCAGCTCCCGTATATCAGCTATCATAGAAAGAATATGCAGGTAGCTGTCTTCCTGAAAATTGGTCTGTAATTTACGTATTTTTATATTTTATCATTTCTTATACTTTGAGGGAAGTAAATACAGGAGATTAAAGTAGGTTTTTTTGTGTGTGTGAAGTCATACCTGTACATGATTTGCTTGTTCACTCGATCTTTGTAAAGCTACCTAGATGTCCACATTCAGAAAACGTGGCTATCATGTTTTATTGTTTACCATTTCATAAATACAAGGTTAACACCACTTTTCCATAAGATTTTCTGAGTTGATATGAAGAGATACATTTGTATATCTATATTAACTGACTTACTAACATTGGGAAGGTTTTGCTGTCTCATTTGGTGTGCATGTAAAGATTTATAGAAGATGAGTGTGGGAACCTGGAAAATTGCATGCAAGAAAATAAGAAACTTTTAGAGGACACTTAACATAGTTGAAAGTTCTAATTTTCTTTTTTTTCAGTTTATTTAAAATATAATTTGGGGTAACCTTAGCTCTTCTTTGTGATTTAGTTATTGGAAAGCCATTGTCAAAATTAATGTATTGTGACTCAGGGCATGTTTTCACTGTTTGATGGAAATACAGTTAGATATTATGTTGATTTTAATTATTTAATTAAGGTATGAAAGATTTTCCTTGAAGAGATTATGTTAATTTTTTCTTTTTCCTTTTAGGTTTTATATGAACAATTCAAGTTTTTCTTGAATCTCTATTTTCTGGTAGTATCCTGCTCACAGTTTGTGCCAGCATTGAAAATAGGCTATCTCTACACCTACTGGGCTCCTCTGGTAAAAAGAAAAGATTTTTGAAATTAACTGAAATTATTAAGTATTTAAAATATAGCTTTAAGAGTGGAGATGGTTAAAAGATAAATCAATCGGATTTTTAAAATGTGATATGTTGCTGTGTGTCACGGAACTTTTGTTACAAGGTTTCACAGAGTCCTCTGCAGCCCCACAGGAGTGTGAGGGCAGCATGCGGCGCTAGGTTGGCTGGAGAAGCTACAGAGCACCTTTGCTGGTGGGGCTGGGCGTTCTTTCGGGCCCTAGGGTGGCAGCTGTGCGTCCCCAGCCCCGCTGCCCCGTACTGGAGGAGCTCTTGGGAGAGATGGGGCGGGCCTGTGCGAGTCTGCCCAGCACCTCTGGCATCCTGATGGATGGGCAGCTTTTCCCTCTGCCTGGTGGCAACAGTTCTGAAGTATCTCAGTGAAGTCTGGCAGCCGCTGGTTGACAGCTTGGGGTGTGGCATTTTTGGAAAGGCAAATGATGTTTGTCATGGAGTATTTCCATCTCGGACATGCTATCTTGATAGTTTTATGCTGTTTGCGGATAGTTTTCATTGCTTTTCCGTTTGCAGAGGCAAGAGGTATGTCTCCTTCCTTCTTTTCACCTAGAAGGGGGTACTGCTCCCTTTGGTGTGCTCCCTCCTGGGCAGATCACCAGTGTGATCTGGGCAAGAAAACATGGCGAGTGAGATGATTCCTGTAGCGAGGGAGCAGGGCAGTGCTCAGGTTTCCCGCCCTCAGAACTGGAGATCGGAGCCATATGCTCTCCAGTTGATCTGTTCTGCTTCGTGCAGCCCTGCCGCCTCCGAGGCTGTGCTTTCAGGTGCGGCAGGAGGGCTGGAAGCGGGGGTAAGTTTAAGTCCCTCTCCGGTTCCTGTTCATGTAGACTTTAGGGTGGCGTGGGTCTGAGCAATGAAAGCAACTTATGTGTGATCTAGACACAAAGTTACTGAATAAATGGATACCTTTTCCACTTACTGTATTCACCAGATCGACAGAGACATTGGTGCTGCTGATGTGAAGCTGTGATTCTCATCCACTGTTGTGTAAACATAAGTCCGTGTAGCCTGTTTTTGGAGGACAGTTTGGAAATATATATAAAGATACCTTATAAATGGATTCAGCGTTTTTATTTGAGGAATTTATCTTAAAGCAATAATGATCAGTCATAGAGTCTAAAGAATGTCTTTACTAATGTCTATTATTATTCTTTTTAAAAAATATTTGTTTATTTATTTATTTATGACTGAGTTGGGTCTTTGTTGCTGCGCGCGGGCTTTCTCTAGTTGTGGCGAGCGGGGGCCACTCTTCCTTGCAGGTGCACGGGCTTCTCATTGTGGTGGATTCTCTTGTTGCAGAGCACGGGCTCTAGGCGTGTGGGCTCAGTAGTTGTGGCTCGTGGGTTCTAGAGCGCAGACTCAGTAGTTGTGGCGCAGGGGCTTAATTGCTCCGCGGCATGTGGGATCTTCTCAGACCAGGTCCTGGACCCGTGTCCCCTGCATTGGCAGGCGAATTCTTAACCAGTGCGCCACCAGGGAAGCCCTATTATTCTTGATGACAAAATTATTTGAAAAGTCAGATGTCTAACCGGATTGTTTAACTGTGCTGTATGCCATGCGTTGCTGGAATACTGTGCTGCTGTGCGCCTTTGAAAATGATGTTTAGAAAAAGTATTTAATAACACTGAAGGTGTACATATTAGAAGAATGGGGAAAAGTGGGTATGGAATGAAATACACAGTTCTTTGATCAGCCCCCACTGAGTTCGTTTGTGTCCAGCACTAGTCAAAGCAGTGTTGATTCAATTGTGAATAAGACAAATCCTGTCCTAATAGAGCTTATATTCTGGGGGAGAAAGACAATTTAAATGATCCGTCATGCCAGGAAGCCTGCCATGAAGCCATGAAGCCAAAAATGTAAAGCAGGATATGGGGGTGGAGAATGACCGGGTTATTTTAATAGGGTGGCTAAGGAAGTCGCCTTTGTTGGGGTGGCATTTGACGACATCTGGACGATAGGAGGGAGTGAGTGGGCCGTGTGCAGAGCAGGTGTTGCAGGCAGAGGGCACAGTAGTTGCACAAGGTCTGGGCGCCCTGGAGTGTGTGGACGTGCAACTCTGGTGGGAAGGGGCCCGGAGGGGCGGTGGGCGCTCAGATTTCATCCTGAATAGGATAGGGGCGTGTGTCTGTGTGTTGCACATGTCACACGAGGGAGAACACCGGAGCTTACAGCACAGTTTTCAAAGTTGATTTTAAAGCCACACGGCCATGGAGAGGGAACATAGGTGACTTCTCCTTCTTTCTTTTCTCTCACTTTTCTTCTCATTGGAGGTAACCTCTATTCTGAATTTGAGATTAAATTGCTGTGTATCTCTTAATAATTTTGCTACTTATGTTTGTATTATTAAAACAAGATGCACTGTTTTGGCATGCTTTAAAAATTCTATGTAACATTTGTCTTACTCTAAGTATCCTTTTGTAACATGCTTTTTTGGCTTTACATTGATTTATAAAATTGACCCATGTGGACACACATATATCTAGTTCCTTCGTTTTTCACTTCTCTAAAGTATTCCATTGTGTGACTGTATCACAATTGATTTGTCCATCCTCTTGGGAAAGGAGACTTTTAGGTTGTTTCTAATTGTTCTCAGTTGCAGACTGCTGCATGATCAGGCGAATTTGTGTTATTCCTCACACACTTGTGCCAGAAATTCTGTAGCTGTATGTGCCCTCCTTAAAAGTGCTGTTTATTTTGTCCATTTTCTAATAAAAGCAGTCTAGCATTACAGAAGTTTTAGAACATAGAAAATATACTTGCTAATGCTGAAAACACAAACTTATTTATGGTTTTCATGTGTTTATTTCTAGCCCCTATTTTCTATTCCTAGCAGTATTTACCATTTAAATAGTATTTTCTACCTTGGGTTAAATTAATTTTAACTCGAACAATGAGTATCTGAGAACACAAATTCTTAAAAATCTAAAGTAAAATATATTCATTTGTATCTTGCTTTTGTCTCTGGCCTTTTTAACTCTGATTTAACTAGCTTTTAACCAAAGAAAATGTTCTATTTTGATGGATTCTTTTCGAAGAATTCAGTGTTACCTGTTCACAGATTGACCTTGTTGGCCAGGCTTGGACTGAGTGCACAGCATACATGGGCCTCTCTAGTTTCTCTGTTCTCTAACAAGAGCTCATTTCCAGTTCTAGCTTGGATTTTAGGTCCTTTAACTTGAATTCTCAGGTTTTTTGAAGTACTTTATCATTTTTTTGACATGAGAAATAAACTTTATTATATTTAGATAAATACCTCAGTACGAACCTCAGTATCCATAATGGGACCATTGTTCTGCTGTGATTATGTGTTCGTGCTCCAGAGAGCAGAGGAAAGCCCCTCCCCTTCTTCCACTCCGCGTGGCCTCGACACGTGGGCGGGCGAGCGCTCCCCTGCTCCGCTCTGCTGGCCGCCACACCCTCAGACCTGGGTTCCCACCCTTCCCTCTGCTCCTCGGTTTGGCAGCAGCCACAGGTGATGCCTTTTCTCAGAAGACACATAATGAAGGTTTGTTAGTATCTTTGCTTGCACTTTTTATATGCATTTTAACCTGTGATTTGGCAAGAATCTCAAAAAGTTGATGTGCGCATTAGGCTCACTTTTGAATCCATGAAGCTGACTTAGATTGGTTCTTTGATCCAAACTCACCTCAGAACACCTTTTAAATTTTTGAAAATTTAGATACTATCTGTAGAAGATCTTTCTTATTAATCTGGGCAAAGTTAAAGAACCTTTAAACTAATTCTGAAATATATATGTGTATTTATTTATTTATTTATTTATTTTACCAAGGGAAGTATTCCTGATTTCTTCCTAAGCCCTTGTTCTTTGTATGCCTGTGTATCTTACCCTGACCCATGCCCAGGGCCTAGAAGAGCAGGGATCTTTATATACACATTAAAGCTTTTGACATCTTTTCTCTGCTTGCACTCTAAGGTTCTATAAGTTGCCCAAAAGAGGAATCAGTTAGCATTTGCAGTTTTCTCCTAGCCAAAAACCTGCCAGTGAAGCATAAAAAATCTTAAAGCTGGTGTTATGAAGTCTTATGTCTGATGTCCACTCATTTTAAAGAAAACAAGTTAATGCAAACTTAATCCCTCTGCTCTCTATCTAAAATTAGGATGTTTCTGAAAACAGTGATAGCTTAATTAATAATCTTTCTATTTCAATTACTCCTGGCAGTGTTGTTTACTGGCTTCAGGTCTGAACTAATTTCTGTTATATTTTGTTATATAATAGGAAGAGTAAACTGAAAATAAGTGATTTCATTACATTGTATCAGAATGAATATTACCTTTCATACTGTTCAGATTTCAGAACACTTCTTCAAGGCAAAGCTGCTGTAATCAGAGTAACAAAATGGATTGTAATGCTTCTGTCAAAATTAATAAGGTGGAGTAGATCTATCCATACAAAAGATTTTTAGATAAAGAAAATATGGATTTTTAATCTGTACATCTTCCATATAAAATATCTTCCTGGTGCTCTGTTAATACATAATTGGAAACCAGATAGGCTGTGTAGGTTGGAAATCAGTCTGTGGGGGACTCTGATTTTCAGTCTGATTTTAAAATCCTTCCTGCTATCCACCCTTTCTTGTGAGTGTCTCTGTGAATTGGAGGTGTGGGCAAAGTATGAAAAGGAGAAAACAAAATCAATCATTTGGAATCCTGCCATCCAGAGACAACCACTGTTTACATGAACTTTGTGACCCTGACTGAGTTACTTTTTCTTTTTGTATTTCAGTTTCTTTATTTGTAAGTTAGAGCTAAAAGTACACGTCTTCTAAGGTTTTTGTAACATTTAAAAGGTAATTCATTTAAAATATGTAGGAGTGTCTGGCATATAATAATCCCTCAAAGGTAAACTGATGTGGTAACATAATAAAATCTTTTTTCTCTTTACTAAATTATATATTGTTTTGACACTCACTCCATATGGTTCCTG